ACTTTACATAACTACCACAGTCAACAGAAAGTTAGGAAACTGTAGGTAACCCGGCACTGAATAGCAGATTTACCTGAAGAGAACAAGAATGGACCCAACCCTGATTCACAACCGTTTGGTTTAATAAAGATTCTCCACTTTATCTTTCACCTCCTGGTTGAAACCAAGCTACAGTTTTTGTTGTGTCCTATGAGGATGATGCTAGGTAGTGGAAATCCTATCAACTCGTGAGAGAATGATGCTGTCACCACCTGCTGGTGTAGCTAGTAAACTGCCTCTTGTACTTCTCAAAAATTGACAAAAATGTGTAAAAGGGAACTTAAAAATGTAATGTGAACCATGAATGGACAGGAAGCAATCCACAAATATACAAAAAACATTTTGCGTGTAGAAATGAATGATGTGTAAATATCACTTTATAAGTGAAAATTAAATGCATGTTTACAGAGTAAATTGTGCGTATTTGCAAATCACACTGTATTTTTTAGATATGACTTTACACAACACAAATAACAAAATACATGGATAGTGGATAGTGAGATATTTGTGGATTTATTCTACAGATTTTCGCACACACACTGGAAAAAGTTTCACAAATAAATAAAGGGGAGGTCTAAATGTAACATGACAAACAAATTGACAGGAAGTGATCCACGAATGTGCAATACCTGTGTAGCCTATTCTGTATTTTCAATTCAGTTTTATTTATATAACGCCAAATCACAACAACAGTTACCTCACAGCGCTTTTCATAAAAGAGCAGGTCTAGACCGTACTCTGTGATGTTATTTACATAAGCCCAACAATTCCCACCAAGAGCAAGCACTAGGCGACAGAGGCAAGGAAAAACTTCCTTTTAAGAGGCAGAAACCTCGAGTTGTGGGTGAAGGAGAGAGAGAGGGCAAGAGAGGAACACAGAGAAAGAGGGGCAGGAGAGAAACAGAGAGAAAAAGAGAGGGATGGAAGGAGAGAGGGGGAGGGAGGCAGCCTACACAATATACACACAACAGAGGTACAGACAGTAAAGGTGATGTTGCCATAGACTAAATGACTAAATGAAAAATGGTGTAGATATGTGTAGTAGTGTTAATGATAACAATCGTAATGTTAATGATTATAATAACAATAATAACAATAGGACTAGTAGCAATAGTTGTTGTAGCAGAGGGTGTCGAGCAGGAACACAGGGGCAGCAGGTGACCCGCAGCCACAGATCCAGACTTCACAGCTCTAGAGCCAGAAACACCTGCAGGAAGTGATATGAGGAGAGAGGAGAGGGACGAGAAAGCACAAGACTACTGGAAAGGGGAGAAGTTGTGTTGGAGTGCAGTGCATTCTGGGAGCGCAGTGCTCTGGTGGGGTAGTAAGGTAATATGAGCTCTTTAAGATAAGATGGTGCCTGACCATTAAGAGCTTTGTAGGTAAGAAGAATGATTTTAAATTCTATTCTGGATTTTACTGGAAGCCAATGCAAAGAAGCTAAGACAGGAGAAATATGATCTCTTTTCCTGGTTCCTGTCAGAACACGTGCTGCAGCATTCTGGATCAGCTGAAGAGTCTTAATGGACTTTTTCGAGCAGCCTGATAATAAGGAATTGCAGTAATCCAACCTCAAAGTAACAAATGCATGGACTAGTTTTTCTGCATCATTTTTAGACAGGATATTCCTGATTTTCTCAATATTACGTAGGTGAAAAAAGGCGGTCCTTGAAATTTGCTTAATGTGAGACTTAAACGACATGTCCTGATCAATGATAACTCCAAGATTCCTCACAGTGGTGCTGGAGGCCCGGGCGATGCCATCAAGGGAAACTATATCTTTAGATAATGCGTCACAGAGGTGCTTAGGCCCCAGAACAATAACTTCAGTTTTATCTGAGTTTAACATTAGAAAATTACAGGTCATCCAGGTTTTAACAACCTTGAGGAACTCCATGACTTACTTTGGCGTGCATGGAGGACTCATCGTTAACATGTACAAACTGAAATCAATCTGATAAATAGGACTTAAACCAGCTTAGAGCGGTTCCTGTAACGCCAATGCAATAGGATCTGATGGTCAATGGTATCAAATGCAGCACTAAGATCTAATAAAACCAGTACAGAAACAAGTCCTTTGTCTGATGCAATAAGGAGGTCATTAGTAATTTTCACCAGTGCTGTCTCTGTGCTATGATGAGCTCTAAATCCTGACTGAAAATCCTCAAATAAACTATTGCTCTGTAGAAAGTCACACAGCTGTCTAGCAACTGCTTTCTCCAGAATCTTAGAGAGAAATGGAAGGTTAGATATAGGTCTATAGTTGGCTAAAACATCCGGATCAAGTTTGGGTTTTTTCAGAAGAGGTTTAATTACAGTTATTTTAAAGTACTGTGGTACATAGCCTGTTGATAAAGATAGATTGATTATATCTAGTATAGAAGTGCTGACTAAGGGTAAAACATCTTTAAGCAACCTAGTCGGGATGGGGTCTAAGAGGCAGGTTGATGGTTTAGATGAAGAAATTATTGAAGTTAGTTGGTAAAGATTGAGGGAAGCAAAACAGTCTAAACATGTATCTGGTTCTACAGCTGTTTTTAAGGTTCCTGAGTTTAGAGATAAGTTGGTGCCAGTTGAGGGCAGGTCTTGGTGAATTTTGTTTCTAATAGTTAGAATTTTATCATTAAAGAAGCTCATGAAGTCGTAACTACTGAGAGCTATGGGGATACTTGGCTCAATAGAGCTGTGACTCTCTGTCAGCCTGGCTACAGTGCTGAAAAGAAACCTGGGGTTGTTCCTATTTTCCTCTATTAATGACGAGTAGTACGCTGATCTGGCATAACGGAGGACCTTTCTAGTTTTAAGACTATGTTGCCAAATTAAATGAGAATTTTCTAGTTTGGTGGAATGCCAATTCCTCTGAAGTTTCCGCGATATTTGCTTTAATTTGCGAGTTTCAGTATTATACCATGGAGCTAACAGTCTTTGTTTTATTATTTTCTTTTTTAGAGGGGCTACAGTGTCGAGTGTCATTCGCAGCGAGCCTGCAGCACTATCAACAAGATGATCGATTTGGGAGGGACTGAAATTAGCATAGGAGTCCTCCGTTACTTTGTGACTAGATGATGAATTTAGAGCTGATGGAATCGCATCCTTAAATTTAGCTACAGCACTATCAGACAGACATCTTGTATAGAAATTTTTGCCCAATGGCGTGTAGTTCAGCAATACAAACTCAAAAGTTATAAAAAAAGTGGTCGGATAAAGAGGGATTCTGTGGGAACACTATTAAATGTTCAATTTCAATACCATACACCAGAACAAGGTCGAGGATGTGGTTAAAACTGTGAGTCGGTTCATGAACACTCTGAGAGAAGCCGATGGAATCTAACAGAGAGATAAACGCAGTACTGAAGCTGTCATTCTCAACGTCCACATGAATATTAAAATCCCCTACAATAATAACTTTGTCCGTTTTAAGGACTAAAGTTGACAAAAACTCATTCAGAGTATGGGCCAGGTGATCGGTATACTATAATGAAGAGAATTGGTTGCAGTGATTTCCAACTTGGGTGCGAAAGACTAAGAACAAGGCTTTCAAATGAGTTATAGTTTAGTTAAGGTTTAGAGCTGATTAGTAGGCCAGAGTCGAAGATAGCTGCAACTCCACCTCCTCGGCCTGTGCCTCGAGGAATGTGAGTATTAATATGACTGGGAGGGGTGGATTCATTTAGGCTAACATATTCTCCATCACCCAGCCAGGTTTCAGTAAGACAAAATAAATCAAAATCATAATCTGATATTAGTTCATTTACTAGTACACCTTTAGAAGAGAGAGATCTGATGTTTAAGAGTCCACATTTAATTTTCCTATTGTTTTGCACTATTACTCTTGTGGTTTTAATTTTTATGAGGTTTTTATGCACAGCTCCTCTTCTGTTTACCTTTGATTTAAATAATTTCGATGGTCAGGGGACAGACACCGTCACTATAGGATTTTCACTAAGTAACTCCTGAAATGGAGGAGCAGAGAAGTGTGTTAGACTGCGACTCTGCCTCCTGGTCTCAACTTTGGGTTGTCATGGATTTGGTCGACTAATAAACTTGGCCAGATTTCTAGAAATGAGAGCTGCTCCTTCCCAAGTGGGATGGATGCCGTCTCTCCGAATCAGACCAGGTCTTCCCCAGAAAGTCTGCCAATGATCTACAAAGCCCACATCGTTTTTCTGGACACCACCTTGACAACCAGCGGCGGAATGACAACATGCAGCTATACATGTCATCACTGGTCAGATTTGGCAGAGGTCCAGAGAAAACTACGGTGTCCGACATTGTCTTTGCACATGTACACACCGACTCAACATTAACCTTAGTGACCTCCGATTGGTGTAACCGGGAGTCATTACCGCCGACGTGAATAACAATCTTACTGTATTTACGTTTATCCTTAGCCAGCAGTTTCAAATAAGACCCCCCCCCCCCTTCCTGGCAGCACAGGAGATCCCGGGGGACAGCTACCACAGGCTAACTCAGTCCGACTACCGGGGACTGGCTAGCTATAGTAGCTAAAGACTGATCTACCAAGGTGCGGAGCCGGGCTTCTAAATCACTGAGCCTCGCCTCCATGTCTAAAAATAAACTACACTTATTACACGTACCATTACTGCTAAAGGAGGCAGAGGAGTAACTGAACATCTGACACACCGAGCAGGAGAAAGTAGGAGAGAGAGAAGGAGAAGCCATCGTTAGCTACTAAGCTAAAGTCGCTAACGGCTAAGCTAAAGTACTGTAGCGTCAGCTACCAAAACTTTTGAACAACTTTGAGATTGAACAGCAGTCACTAAAAGATGGAAAGAACTGTGAGTGCTTAGGCAAAATTACTGTAAGAATAACTGTTTAGCGGACAGTTGGCCGCTGTAATCTAACAAATGTAACTGGTATTTAGCGAGAGCAGCACAACACGGTACCAACACACAACCACCGGAAACGGAAATGAGTCGACACGCTTACCGCAGTACGTCACACCCTGTGGGAAATATTTTTGTGGATATGATTTTCCAAAACACAAATGTAAAAATGCATATTCGTGGATAGGCTTTTGTGGGTTACAAATAATAAAGTTGAACTTCCGTGGAGAGTCCTTTTGTCCAGGTGTATGTTGCATCTTTATTTTACTGGTCTGGTCAAATATTGTCTAAAAGTAATCATTACTTTGAATCATGAGCTATGAGCTATTAAATGTATCAAATGTAAAAGATACTGACTGATGTATTAATATGTACTTTATTAAATTCTTAATACTGATGCAACAGTGTGAAAGTAGCATTTTACTGTTAGCTGGTTGAGGAGTAACTTTTTTGAATTGAATGATTAGGGTTGTGAGATGATTAATGGGGTACAAATGTAAAACAATAAAAAAAAAAGTCTGCAACACAAATATAACTTTTTCAGACTATTCTAGTCTTTTTTTTATATGAAAACTTTTACATTAATATTAATTAATAATTAATGTTGAATTTTAACAGCTACAAATGAACATGAAAATGAACTAGTAGCTATAGAAAGAAAAGTGAGATCACAGAGAGAAAGAACATCATTCTGTGATATCAGGCACCAACACACAAATTATGTGTGGGTGTGGGTGACCTTATATGAGGGTTAGTTTGTCTTCAGGACAAACAGTTTGCATTATGTTTGCATGATTTTGACTGTTCGCATGGATTTGCCTGTTTTGGGTGTGTGCTATGGTGAATAAGCTGAAATTGATATTGTGCAACAGTAAGTTATAAATGATGTGTACACATGAAGGAACAATTTCAACACAACACAGCTTTACTAAAAGACAAAACTAAAGATTCATGATCTGTTTTGTGTGCGTGGAAGCTGTAAGCTGCTGTAGATACTGTGCACCAGCAAGTTGTTTATTTGTATATTGAAATATTGAAGTAGAGCCACTTTGTATAAGCACTGGTCAAAGAACTCATCCTCTAAGCTTTCTTACAGATAATGGCATGATACTTCGAAAAGGTTGTATTCTCTGACAGCAAGTTTAGGCTCAAAATGTCCCCAAAGCATTTCTAACCTCAAATCAACATTGTCTAACCAAAGCCTTTGTTATATTGTCGGTTATAGCAGCTGTAAGACTCATTAAACCATGTGATCTCTGTCAGCGAAGGGAGGGGACAGTTTTTATAAAAGAGTCCAAAGGATCCACAGCATCAGAAGAGAGGATTAAGTTGAGGTCAAAAGTGGAAAAAACTAAATGTAAGTACATATTGATTAGTTATTAATTGTTATTAATTAATATAACTATATTGTTGTCATTGATTCATTATGTTAAATATTTTACATTATATTCTGCTTTAAAAATAATAAATGGTGGTTATGCAGATTTTTGGTTTATAATGGCATGTATGATAATAGAATTGTGTTTCTGTTCTTATACAAGACAACACACAGTAGACGTGGTTCTTCTGAACAATAAAGGAAGTTGTCATAAAATCCTGAATGTGAATGACATCTATAAATCAGCTGAATGAGGACAATTTAGTAACTGTACAACCCTAAAAACATGTACATGTAGCACATTTTCAAGTGGCCTTTTATTGTGGCCAGCCTAAGGCACACCTATGCAATATCCATGCTGTCTCGTCAGCATCTTGATATGCCACACCTGTGAGGTGGATGGGTTATCTCGACACAGATTTGTGAGCAATATTTGAGAGAAATAGGCCTTTTGTGTACATAGAGAAAGTCTTAGATCTTTGAGCTCAGCTCATGATGAATGGGGGCAAAAACAAAAGTGTTTATAATTTTGTTCAGTGTAGAAGAATATAAGAAAATACAAGTCAATAATACTTTACTATTTTTATTAGTAATATTAACCAATCAATTTTAATTGTTAACCATTTTTACAGTAGGTTTTCATGGAGTCACCTGATTTTGTCCGGGACAAATTAACTGAATGGGGCTTCAGTGATTTCATGCAGAGATTTGAAGGTACTGTATTACCATTCTGCTTTGCTGGACGTGACAGTGAAATTGCAGCACAATGATGACATATTGTTTTTTGTATAAGTTAGGTAACTGTTATGAATATTAAACAGGTTTATACTCATCTCCAGCAGCACAAAATATAACAATTCAGAAAATTGACCCAAAAAATTAGGGTCATTTTTAAGACATCTGATGACAGACAGACGGTAGTCTGTTGACTGTTCTGAACACAGGAGTGACCAAGTGTACATAAATAGCATTTCCTACAGTGTGCAAGGTTTCATACATTAATACTTTTATAACATTATGATATACCTTTCTTTATAAGAGGGATTTAACTCACCAGTGCATCACCCAGACATCACACACACACACACACACACACACACACACTTAATTGCATGGTTAATCGTGATTAACCGCATAGGTATACGCAAAATTGAATAATGAATTCCAAAGTAGTGAATTGCGCACTTAAATGTACTTAAATGTAATGCGTAATTTAAATGTACTGCTATATACACAAAAGTGCAATAATGTGGTTTGCAAACACTTCAAACAAATAAGGTGCATTTTAGCAGAGGTATTCCCTTTACACAGTAGCAATAAAATATTTCTTGTAAATCTCAACTAAAACATTAAACACATTGTAATCAAATCAAAAATAAAACCAAAGCTATTTGCAACTGCCAGGGCATTACCTTTTATAGCTTGTTAAAGAGCCACGATCATAACATAACAGGCACCTTCTGAGTAACAGGTTTACATATATAAATCTGTTTCCTTGTTTTTTCTGAACAGGTATCAGCAGAAACATTTTTCTTTTATCAGGGAGCAGCATAAACAGTCTATGTTCAGTAGAAAGTGTCCCTGTTAGAGTGAGGTGAAATGCTTGCCTCACGCACATGCCTGCCCGCTGTTGAATTGTCTTGAACTGTACAAATAATTGGAAAAGAGGCTGTTTGTGAGTTTCCACAATCTATTCCTGTTTACTAAATAGGTCATCAAAACTAGATGAAGGCCTATCAGGTAAAGTTATGTATAATTTTAACTTAACTTTTTTATTCCTCAATTTCAGATGAAGGCATTGACAAGGAGACTTTTCTAAGTCTTGGAGATTCAGGCAGCATCAGTGGCTTGATCCCTAAAATTGGACCAAGAGTAAAATTCAGAAAAAGACTCAAAGAATACTTACAGGTAATGTGCTTTACTGTTTTCTGACACAAAAGATGAGCATACACTGTACAATTTGAGCCAGTTTCTGACCCTATTTTCAGGTCATATAGTATACGGGGGGAGCAAAGACCAATCAACTGTTCCCAAACGGCTATCAGACAGTCGGATAAATTTCATGTCATAAATGTTTTTGAGATGTCGTTATGTTTTTGAGCCATAAGTTGATACCCCAGGATCAGCGCCTTTTTTTCTCACTGCGCATGGTGACACAATGTTAGCTATCAAGTTAACAATTTATACAGTAAAACATATATAGAATTCTCCTAATCACCTAGTCAATGTATACCAAGGCCTTTTATTTATTCATTTATGTTTTCGGCACACGAGTTGGAACATATGATCAAGGCAGCACGTTTCTGCCTTGTTAGCAAACTTCTACCTGCCTCTGAGCTTTCAACAAAATCTTTAGTGACATGTGTCAATAGCCAGAACTGTCTGCAGGGGCCGACAGGCCTTTTTATTTTGTATTTACATGTACACTGTGAGCACTCGGGTTGTGGCTTGACCATTGGGCCGAACAGTGTGAGCACATAAATCGTGCTTTGGCTTTACATTACAGACACTTTACTCCTACAGTAGGAGTTGAACATTTCTAAAATTGTAAAGTGTATGCTTTAATGTAATGTCATTTGAAAACAACAACATTGTAACGTTTGTCACATGAGCTTGAATTTCTAGCTACATCTTGGATAAAATCAGCTTACAAAGAAATGTACAAAAGATGAACATGCAGCACAGATATCACAGAATCAATGCAGCAATTTGTTCTCTCTTCAGGCTATTCAACAAATAAAAAATGTCTACTTTTGCACAAATAAGCATCCTTGTATCAGCATAGCAAACGTGTATGATGTGTTTGCAGCTGGGATAGCAAATTATATCATCACATTGTTGGCCATACAGAAGCAGCTATTTCATATCAATTAAAAAGCTAGAATTAAATACTTTTTATAGAGTGTCACCAGAGTTAAAGCAGATTAATTGGAGGGCAGTGAAAAAATGTCACAGAGTTAAGCAAAATAAAACAGCCTGCAGTACAAGAAACTACTGAGTTAAGCATTTTTTAAACATTGTTTTACATAGCCATATAATATATTATAACATGTAGTTATGGGGTTCAACAAACCCTTTACTTTTGTACAAAAAACAGAAAAAGCCATCGTTCAGTTTGTGAACGATGTATTGTACCTGAATGTTATAATGGTTAATTTAATATTAATAATGCACTACAGATGCTGCAGGAATACCTTATTTTTATAGGCCGACCCAGAAGTTAGCATCTCCCTGTTGTCCTCAACAAAAAGCCAATGGGATTTTTCCATTCGGTTTTGGAATATTGCAGAAAATAAGCTCTGTAGCAAAAGTTTACTTCCTAAAATGTTTTGTTCAACAAGATAATCTTCTCAAATGAATACCACTTTATGAATTTTGATGCTTGAATGCAATCGCCAGAAGTAAAAAGCAAATGCTAAACTATAATAAACTACACCATGACTTCAACTTCACCACCTCTTCCAACTTTTAACACCTCCTCCATCGTGATGGCATTTAATGTCCCCAACAACCTATATAGTCTCATTTAGTCACTTGTTAGCAACCACCTTTATTCAACAAGCCTCAAAATTCAAGAGTGGGATATTTACTGATGGATTTTATGTCATAGAACAAAATGTGAACATCTCTTAAGCTTATTTCAGGCATCTAACTATTGAAAAAAAACATTGATTCCCAGAAAATGGAAACGGCCAAGTTTCAGGAAGCATTCCTACAGTACTGTATAATTGGTTTGAACAATAAAATATTAATAACTCTGTTTCCTACTTTGCCAGTGGAATTCCATGGAGACATGTGATTTTGTCCAAGTGAAATTAACTGAATGGGATCTCAGTGAGTTGATTCAGAGATTTGAAGGTAAAGTACTGGTGGGCACAAACTGTATTTTGACATTAGTTAAGCCTGCTTCTTTAATAAAAAAAGAACTGCAGCACAGTAATACCAAAGTGTAACAAATCCTTTATATTTCTGTGTGATTGTCTATAGAAAACCAGTTCGAGGTTCATTTATATATACACACACACATTTTTCTTTTCATTTCAGACGAAGGTGTTGACAAGGAAGCTTTCCTAAGTCTTGAAGAGTCAGGAAACATCAATGTCTTGATTCCTAAAACAGGACCAAGAGTAAAATTCAGAAAGAGACTTAGAGAATACTTACAGGTAAAGACACTTTACATTGAAATGCTACTAGTACTTAGCACTCACTTTTGTGTACTTGTGGGGTGATAACGCAGTGGATAAGACACATGCCTTTGGTGTGAGAGACCTGCTCTCAATTCCCCACTGTGACACATATACCGATGTGTCCCTGAGCAAGACACTTAACCCCTAGTTGCTCCAGAAGCATGCGACCTCTGACATATATAGCAAATGTAAGTGGTTTTGGATGAAAGTGTCAGCTATTTAATAAATATAATGTAATGTCTGTGATGTGTACTTGCTTTCACAAGTTACAGGGGCATGAGATTCTGTCTTGAGTTTGTATGCTGGAGGTTTACCTCTCACCTGTAATGATTCAGTATTCGGTTTTTTCAATGCTGGACAATATCATATTATACGGGATGGGTGGCAACCCTAAGCTAGTCCTTTAATCCTATTAGCTGACTCTGCACGAAAAGCTCCTGGGAGCCTCGAGCACCCAGGAGTTTTTCACGTTTACACCTCTAGTTGGCCTACAGTACCTTTGGACCACTAGGAGTGCTTCCCAGTCCGGGTAGAGTCAGCTAATAGGACGGCAGCTGCAGTTAGCTGCAGTTAGCAGCAGTTACGGTTACTTTAGCAACAAGTAAAGCTATCTGTCTATCAGGAAACTTTGTAAGTCTCCAGAAGTTGAGGGATGGCAGCCTGAGGACATCAGAGGAAAATAGAAAATATTTAACTTTCCATCACAACTGAAAAAGCACTGAACAACCTTCAGCTCTGACTTAGCAATGGCATAACCACTTGGTATTGTGTTGTTAATAAATTTAAAACAATCCAAAAAAAGAAATGTTGGAATGTGGGTGCAGTGAGCTGTGCTGGGGGCATGGCTAAAAGGGTGGTGACTGTATAGGCATCACAGATACTATATATTTAGATGTCACAACCTTGTGGAAGTCATGAAGGCTCAGTTTCTCAATACATGAATTGAGCATAACAGTATTTATATATCACCTTGACCTGCTTTATTCAAAAAAGACATGGTATCTCACTTTCTGGAATATAGACATTTAATTTTAAATGTCTGCCTGCTGCAGGCCCTGAAAAAAAAGGCACAGTTACGGTGCTCCTGAAATAACAGACACTGAAGCGGACCCAAATCCAGACCAAGAGGACACCCCTGAAATGGTTAGTTATGTAATCACACAAAACTGAACAGAATCATAATTATGCTCTTTTAAAGGAATAGTTCAATATTTTGGCAATTTAAAGTGCTTACATAATGTATTAAAAACATTCAAATAAATAATAAATAAATAAATTAAAATAATAGCAACTTTTTTACAGTTAAGAACTGAGAAATATGTAAATACAGGATAGGAAAATATGAAAGGGCTCAAGATGGTTCACGATGAGTATTTGAAGTTCAGTCAAAGGTAAGAAAATAAAAAGTTTTAAACTTGGAATTAAAGGTAGTCAAAGTCGGAGCAAGTACAATATCCTTTTGAAGTTTGTAAGACCTGAAATCTCGCCTGATTTAGTTTTTAAACTGCTAAGAGAGTGGTGTCATTCTTCTTATCTAACAAGAGTATTTCCCAAAATGTCGATCTTTTCCTTTGAGTAACCTGTAGTACTTGTTCAAACAAAGCCTTCAGCAGATGCATTCAGAAACATTCAGCATGTGCAAAATCAATGTGAAGAAATGTTGGCTACAAGTTCTAATGAAATGTTTTTATATTATGCAGGACCCAACTTTTTTTCCATGGCACTTTGAGTCTACATCAACATCTGACACAGATCATGACAGTGAGATGGTAAGAGGGTTTACGGTAAAGGCCCATTTGGTTTGGGTTTATTTCTCTAGGGGAGGTGAGATGATTTTAACATGATCTGCACTGGCAGTGATTTTAATTCTGTTTGGAGGGCATGTGTGGTTATGGTTTTCACAACCGTAATAATATTAGTAGTAAACAGTTTATCTTTGAACTTACTTATCCTCCTGTAATTTAAATCCCATCCAGAGTGACGTCCATTTATTTTAAAATGGCTCGCTGAGAGCAGTATGTCCCTTTGCTTTACTTTACCTTTACTTTCATTTGGCTTTTTCCTGCTTTATGCCCATGTCTATTACGGACCATATCCTGTAATTTCCCGATAGTTAAAAAGCAATCTGCAAAATGCCGATGAGTTCAATTACAGAGGAGCACAGTGAATATTTAATTCCCCACCTCCCCCTGTAAAATAAAAATCAGAATGGATCTTATGTTTTTGTTAACACTCACATTATTCAAATCATTGTGTTTTACATGTGAAAATATTTGTTATGTTTCTGCAGAGTGAGGAGGCAATTTCCAACTCAAGTACAGGCCTACTTGCTGTGATACTCTTTATTCTGCGTCACCATCTAACTACGGCTCTGGGTGACTTAATAGCTCTACTGAATTTTCTCAGCTCTAACCTGGTTGTTCCATTTAAGTATCTCTCTGATAAGATTCCTGCCTTGTCTACTGTGTTTTACTGCCATGTTTGTCAAAACTACATGGGTAAGAATCCTGATGATGCTTCCTGTTCGCACTGTGGCACAATGTTCAACAAAAAAAGCAGTACTAAAAGTGGACACTTTTTTTTGTCTGCATCACTGAAAGACCTTTTGAAAGACATCCTTAAGAACCATGGCACTGAGTTGTTACCTAAAACAGTCAACCATGCGAATAATATTAAAGATGTGATGGATGGGAAGATGTACCAGAATCTGCTTAAACAAGGAAAGTTGGCTGCAGAAGACCTTACACTGTTATGGAATTGTGATGAAGTACCAATTTATAACTCATCCAGATACTCGATTTGGCCCCTTCAGTTTACAATTAATGAATTTCCTTACACACAAAGGCATGTGATAGTTGCAGGACTTTGGTTTGGCCCAGAAAAACCCAAGATGGGCACATTTCTAAAGCCTTTCATAGATGAAAGTCGTGCTTTAGCTCAAAATCCCTTTCAATGGAGCGACAGCAATGGCACAGTACACTCCTCAAAAGTCTTCTCCTTGGTTTGTTCCTCAGACGCCGTGGCAAGGCCACTACTCCGGAATTGCAAACAATTCAATGGTGAATATGGTTGTGACTGGTGTTTACACCCTGGCATGATGGTCACAAAAGGCGGTGGATCCATGAGGTCCTACCCATTTGATGAAAACAAGCAAGCAGCAAGGTCAACCGAAATGTTTATGGATAATGCAAAACAGGCTGAAAACTCTGCCACCCCCAAAAATGGAGTTAAAGGACTGTCCTTGCTTTCCATACTTCCCTTGTTTGACATTGTTTTTGGCTTTGTACCTGATTATATGCACTCAGTTCTACTTGGTGTTTCCAAACAACTTGTAACTCTGTGGTTGGACCCAGTCAACTCTATGAAACCTTGGTTTATAGGACAAAAGATTTCACTAATGGACTTACGTCTTCTCCGTCTAAAGCCACCATTAGAAATAACCAGATCTCCACGATCACTGAAGTGTAGGGACACTTGGAAAGCCTCGGAGTGGCGAGCATTCCTTTTATTTTATGCCATTAGTGTCTTACCTGGTATCCTGGATCCTATCTATCTGGAACATTATTTTGACTTGTCATTTAGTATTCACATTCTGCTACAGGAATCAATCTCCCAACATGACCTTCGGCTAGCCCATGAGTCCTTGGTACGCTTTGTAGAATGCATGAAAGTGCTTTATGGTGAAGAAAATGTGTCTTTCAACTGTCATCAGTTAATCCACTTAACTGAAAGTGTACAGAACTGGGGTCCTCTCTGGGCAACATCAGCATTTCCTTTTGAGAAAAACAATGGAAATTTAAGGGCTCTGCTTAATGGCATAAATGATAACCCTCAACAAATTTACCAGAGGTTTGTCATATGGCAGCACTTACCCAGACACCTCAGTTCTTTAGTTTTTGACCGACAATCAGATTTTGGTGAGTTATTAGCCAAGCTCACACCAGCAAAAGATGGCAGTCGCTCTGACAAACTTCTTGGAAAATCACGCCATCTGGATCTCACAGGATCCACAAAACTAGCAGTGGAAGAGCTCTTAAAGCACCCAGTTCTTGTCAAATCAGTAGAAGCTTATGACAGCTTCTCTAATGGACACACTGTTTATCACTCTACAGACTTCAAAGAGTCAGACAAAACAGACTGTAATATTAAACTAAAGAATGGCTGCTGTGGAGAAATACAGTTGATTTTACTTTTTAAAAAAAAATGCATTTGCACATCCACTTGTTTGTGCCAGGCTATTCCAATCATTGTGGTGCACCTATATGACATCAAACCTGATACACTGTTCAGCAAAATACATCCTGACAAAACATTAAAGACTACCTTTGTGAGGGTAGAAAGGACAGATCAACCTAAAGCTTTCTTCTTAGAGGATATCAAGTGTAAATGTATGTATGTGGATGGTTCGCTTGTGCCTCTACCAAACACATATGAGAGATATTAGAGTCACTGCAGGGCTAAAGTGTTCACAGCAGAAAGGATGAAAATCTTTGTCCGAAATTCTGCTCATACTCTTCTGACTTTAACTCAAAATAATATTTTCACATGTGGCCCTAATTCTCTTCTGTAGAGTTATTTCAAATTGAGAAGAGTTAAAACGATGGACTTCTAGCCACTAGGCATTGTCTTTGATGTATGATTATGTTTAACTAGGGAGTATGGCAACTGAGCTGGTGTTGACCATGCAATTACTGTAATATTTACTGGATGGATTATGCATGGCAGTCATACTGCTGTGTGCCACTGCTGACCTTGTTGTTGAGTCTTATACAGCCAACATAGAAACTTCAAAATTCAGTTAAGGGCCACTAAGAGCACTTTGTAACTATTTATTCAAACAATTGATTCATTTCTTCTGGGCAATTTAAGAACTTCTCATCTCAGAAGATTTTTTGTTTTTTTACTTTTTGTTTACTCTATTTTACAAGTTATGGGTCATTTTGTTATGTGTCATTTGCGGATGACCTTTTGCATGTTAGACTGCATTTTCTTTAGATGGCTGTAAATAGTGTATTACAGGTATAACAGGAAGAAAATGAATCAGTGTATGTATCTTTAATATTTAGTCATTTTGGTCAAACACATTCTTTTATCTGATCTATTACATTCACAAGGTAATATAATACATCTTAACTGTATCTCCCTGAAAACTATATGGTATGTTTTGCTGTAAATTACTTTGTGAAGTATTCAACTTTTTAAAGTTAACATTAAAAACTGCAAAAATGTATATATATACGTATATAAAATGATTTTGGATGACTACATGATTCAGCTGTATCATGATAAAAGTCAGTTTTACTGTACTGAAAGAACTACAGATAAACCCTGTTTACTTTTATTTGGTAAGGGGCCTCATTTTGTCCTGTATATTGCCTAATATGCTGATAAGGCCTTCTCTATATAATCTTCAGATGTGAGCCAGTCTCTTTTTTAAATACACAAGAATGGGTATAATAAAGAAAGAAATGCTAGTAAAAAAGCGTGTGTCATTGCAATATGGATCATGTTGTGTAACATTGCACTGCTTGTGGTTGTAAAAGTGTATGATTTGCTTCTTCACATGTGCAGCAGGTGTAGTCAACCTTGGATTCATGATGGTTTCAATAGATTCCATTCATAGTCCAGTTTCTTAGCAAGACAAGTGTATAAAAATGTCAACTGAAAGGCCCATGCCCAATGAAAAGCAGCTGGATTAACTTAGTGTATATAAATCTTTATGAGCCAAATGGACAGAGACGTCTCAGAAGTCCTGGGATCCCTTCTAAAGAAGCACTGTAGGTGCCAGTGATGTCTGATTTAGGAGGCTACAACTGAGAAGTTGATCAGACAGTCAGTCAGTCATTATCTGACAGAGAGTAAGAACTATTTAATTTCCATGCTTTGTAATTTAATCTGATTCTTTATATGTGGATGATTTACAGAGCACCACATTCCAGTGCTTATAACATTTAAAAAAATAGATATGACACATGCTAGTAAACATCATGTAACTAGGAAATTAGTAGCTACTGACCCCCTGGTTCTGGCATAAAGACTTCTTCCTGTCTGCTCACTTCATACCTGTCCTTCTGATAAATCACAGACACTCTGATTGGCTAATCAAGGAGAATTCTAGCTGTTTAAGTTTTGGTAACTGACTTCAAATCAAAAGGGGAAAAGGGTAGACAATAGAGAGATTTCAATTATCTTTAAAGTAAAAGAATGACACTAATATATCTTAACATTACAGTGTGTCTGAATCTTCCACATTCAGATGTTTCATGTATACTGTGGGGAAAAATCTAAACATTGCCCACAACCACTGTTTCTATCGCGTTGCACTTTACTGATCATTCTACACAAATCTGAAGGCTGGCTGAGCGATCTCAAACAACTGGGTGTGTGTCCCACCCACTGAAATTAACCTTTTGTCTTGTTAAAATCTCAGCAGGGTGCAATCAGTCCTAATGCGCAACACCTGTATGCAATTACACTCATACTATTTCAATGAAAGCGATCACTGAGGCGTCAGTGTATGTGTTTGTGCCTTGGGTGAAGACCTACTTGGGTAAAGGCCACCCAAGAGTACTAAGCGTAGCTTTTTCTAAGTACACCTACTCACTTAAAGCCAACATCTAGAACTGCATTTATGCCATGTGCTACCATACCATTCGTGTTGTTTCCGGTGCACGCAAGAGGTATCATGTCGTTAGGCACAGAAATCAGGCACCACAGATATCTATCTACATCTACAAAATTACCATTTCTTTTTTTTCTCTGTGATTAGGACAATTTTGGAGAAAATGGGGCTGTGGGGGAAGGTGACTTCCCTCCAAGCAAAAACAAAGTGGGACAATAAAAAACAAGAAATACAAATTATGTATGTGTGATTTGAAATTTATATATTCTGTATATATTTTTTTTATAATTGTTGTATAAATCGTTCACTGTGTAGCATAAAGGGAACTACAAACTGCATTCATCTTACAACCCTGTTTTAATATAATACATACATTTACCTTGTACGTTGTATATCCATTTAATTCATTTTAGCCATGCACGTTAATAAACACAGTTGCTGAAATTTGTTTTTCTGCTGTTATTTACCATGATTGATTTCCTGTGCCTTAGGATTGCAAGTGTCCAGGGTCAGAAGGTGTAGGGGGGAAGCCCACTGCTGCAACTTGGCCCTGGTTTGTCCTCATGGATGAGGTGTTGGGACAGAGGCATTCCACCACCCCACCTGCCTCTACCCCTGAGGACACACCAGGGCCAAGTACTGCAGTGGGTGACAATGAGGAGGAGGAAGAGAAGGAGAAAGAGAAAGAGGGACAGAGAGGATGAGCTGCTTCAGCTTCTCAAGGCAGACATGAGGTTGCAGAGAGAAGCAGAGGAGAGGAGAGCACAGGAGAGCAGAGAGAGGATGGACAGACTGTTCTCTCTACTAGAGAGAAATAAATAAAAAAAAATTTTCAATTCAAATAAAATATTTGTTAAATAAATGATTTTATTTTCTGTGGTCTTTATAGCTATTAGTATTTACAACATATTTACAACATTTAGACCCTGGTGATGCTGCTGGACCTGGATGGGCTGCCACTAAAAAGACCCTGGTCAGCAGGACATCATCTGGGGTGGTCTCCAGAGTGTGTTGCAGGTGTGGATGCATCTCTCCACTGTCCACCTCATCGTCCATCAATGGGTTTGCAGAGCTGGTTCAATCGACAGCTGCCATGTCACTAAGATGTTTTAGTAAGAGGCAAAAATAATAAGCATTGCACACAAAATACTAATTCACAATCTTATTTTGACAAAATAAATCTCTACAAAATATTTCAACAGGCAAAATTGTTAGGATATGAATAGGAATTTACCGATCTTTTACTTGCCTGTTAAAAATATTGGTGGTCAGGGAGCACCTCCTCCAGGGCAGACACCTCTGCAGACAGCTGGTCACGCCGGGGAGCACCATTGACCGTCTCCAAACTGTTCCCTCATCCTCTGCCACATCCTCCTCAGGCTCATCCTCTGGGGCCACAATGTCACCAGCCCCAAGGCAGATGTTGTGGAGGATGGCACATGCTGTTATGACCTGAAATGGTTAAAAATATATTTCAGTCAAAAAAAAACAACATTTATGCTTTTTGATGAATCAGTCTGTTGATTTACTCATTAGTATAATTTAAAAAAATACTCACGTGAGGTACAAAGGTGTGGTGCACCTCCAGCGCTTGCAGGAAGATTGCCTGGAACCTGGTCTTCATCATCCCAAAAGCACGCTCTATAATGGAGCGTGCCCTGGAGTGATGGCTGTTGAAGCGCTAGGCTCCCACACCTTGTATTGGCCTCTTGTAGGGAGTGATGAGGGGGAGTCGGTGTTGGAGGCACGGGTACCCTCTGTCTGCAAGGATGAAATGCCCTGGAGGAGGATAGAGTTAACTCCTGTACAGTGGTCTGTAGCGGAGCACTCTGGAGTCGTGGACCGACCCAGGCCAGCCCACGTAGGTGTCAATGAAGCGGCCCTGATGGTCACAGACAGCCTGCAGGATGATTGATGAAAACAGTTTCCTGTTCCTGTAGCACTGACCATCAGGGCCGCTCGGTGGCTTGATGCGGACATGGCAGCCGTCGATTGCTCCAGCTGCTGTAAAAAACCACGGGATATCGGTTGTAATTCTCCTGGGTCTTCGGTAGGTGGATGACCTTGTGGCCACCACCTCCTCAGTGACTCTGTGGATGATGCGGTGAACAGTGGATCGAGGCATTGTAAACACTCTGGAGACCACCCTGTATGATGCCCCACTTGCCAGCCAGAAGAGAAACACCAGGGTCTCAATCGTGGCACCTCAACCATGTCTCTGTTCCTGGTTTAGGAGGCCCAGTAACACCCCCAGGGCCTCCCTGCTCAACTGGAAATTTGGTCGTGTGTCCTGCTGGCTAAAAAACCTGTCCAGCACAGGAGCACTAAAATTTATCCTGCAGTACAGGGGCCGGGGCTGGTTTAGGGAAGGAGAAGAACAACTGTTCTGTGTGTAGAGAATTTAGTTAGATAAGGCTTGTATATCTTTCTATTCAACTTGCTTTAGCTGATCAATGACAAAAACAGTGTCAATATTTTAATATTAAAGTAAGGTTAGGTTTTCTTTAAATATGAAATTATGTTGTTAAAGTGAAATGGCAGTAGCAATAAACTACTTAACTGTGGTTAACATCATTGTTAGCTTTAGGAAGCCTATAGTACCTAAATACATATAAAATGTAACATTTCTTAGTTACTTTCCCCCGTATTTACCTGGCCAGGGTCCTCTCACATCCTGAGATACATCATGCGGGGGCGCCGGGGGTGAAGTATCTCTAGTTCCTCTATTAAGAGGTAAAATATTAAAATTAAAATATTAGTCTCCATGCCGGTGGACCGCAGCTGTGAAGGTCGCTAGGCGACAGAAGCGGCGCTTCCCCACTCATGGGTAAGGGCGGGGCCAGTTGGTGACGCAATAGACAGTCCTCCGTAGACCAGACCGTCTCGTATAAAACGGTCGGTTCGGCCTCTTGCGGCCCCTGAATTGAGACACATCTATAAATGTCTCATTGTAAGGTAATAAAAACATAATGGTTCATTCTGTAAGGTCTTTACACACCACTGAAAACATAGTTATGGGTCTTATATGTATCTATCTTATATTTATATGTACGTTTGTACAGTTGCCTATATAGCCTACATAGGCCTATGTATGTGTGTGTGTGTGTGTGTGTGTGTATAAGACAGACCGACAGATATTAATTGTCATGCATTGTCTGTGACATATGGAGTTGCCAGCCCAGCCCAGGGAGGGTAGAGTAAGGGCTGTGCTGACTCCACAGTGTCACCCCCGCATTACACACTTCCTGGACAACCAGTAGGAGTCTCCAGTGCAGCAATAATAACAAACATACCTCCTGTCACGTCTTATCCTTTTAACAGTGGTGGAAAGTACATTTTCGTCAGTACAGTACTTTAGTTTTGAGGCAGTTTTCTGCCTCTGACAGTTGCAGTTGCCACTTGAACCTGCTTTGTGGCCAGAGAGGAAAGTAAGCTGGCGAGAGGCTGAGACAATATAAAAGGAAGAGCTCAAGTTAGCAGCAGTGAAGAGGAACAAAATGTAAGTAGCCTACACAAACTTCAATGCAAATTGATATAGCCTATGTAAAGCCCACTGTTGTATTTATCACTATTTTGTATTTATAACCCAGTCATTAATATATTATAGATTTATTATTTATACAATGTAGATATAGGCCTACTCAAAATCGACCTTAAAAGGAGAACTTCTCTGTGTGAAGTTTGTTTTACTTTTTTTTTTTAAACGTTTTAATCCACAATGTCTGTAAAGCTTAACCCATTTCTTTCTTTTATGTCAAAACTGAAAAAGGAAGATAGATATAATTTATATTGCTTTCAGTTCAACAAGGCTAATCAGTTGTGATAAATAATACAAAATACATCTACGCTGGTCAATAAAACTATAAACTAAAAGTTTCATGTGAATGAAAATTGCATTTTGGAAAATAAATAAGTAAACAGCAGAGCCCAGTCAGCAAGAAAAAAATGACAGATGTCAGTTATTTGTGTCGTGAACTCATATTTCCTAAATCATACATAAATAAAATAAAATAAGTCATGGGCACCTTTTCACGTTCCTTTTAAAACTGTAGTCTACTTTTACTCTATACTCAGTATTTTCTTTAGGCCAGTAATCTACTTTTAATTTCGCTACATTTTTCATTCATACCTTCATAACTGCGCCAGTCTGTCATCCAGGCTGCGCGCAGTTACGCAGATCAGCCCTGGTCTCGGGCGGTTCTCACAGTCACAGAGTTCGGCAGATTCAAACATTTAGAAAATCAGGCAAATGTCTTTTCAGTCTAAGGCTTTAATGTTCTAATAATACAACTGAAATCCAGTGAGCGCACACCATGGCACTGGTGGCCGTGTTGGAAGCAGCCTGCGTCGCTCTTTAACAAGCCGGCAAGTGAAATACTTTCACTTTCCATTAACGGCGTATTAAAAGCGTCTTTAGTCTCTGCAGAGCAAATGTAGATTACACACTGTAACATCTAAGTCTGATGATCACTGTTCTAATTGCATTTTGGAAAATAAATAAGTAAACAGCAGAGCCCAGTCAGCAAGAAACAAATTACTGATGTCAGTTATTTTTGTGGTGAACTCATATTTCTTAAATCATTAATTGGCACTTTTAGTCTGGCATTGTAAGTTTCGTAATCCAATTCTTGGCTTTCAGCTAAATTGAATTGAGCCAAACTGTCTTAAAATATCAAGCAGTAATGACTGATTAAAGATTTATGATTATTTGATCACCTTCCAGTTGCTGTTCTTGGTCATGGATGATTTTGTTCGTAACAAATTATCTGAATGGGGTCTCAGTGAGTGGATAGAAAGATTTGAAGGTAAAGTATTGCAATTCTTCTCTATTGGGCACAGGTATAATACAAATTTGGAATGACCTAACAATTCTGAAACATCTAAGCGTCTACTAATACAGACATACAAATGCTGCAGCATTTGTTTTCAGTACAATTCTGATATATCCTTGACAGACATTTTAGGAAAATGGGGAGGGAATCACAGTTGACAAATTCTGGCAATTCTTGTCTGTCAGTCAATGCTGATTAAGCCTATCACTGCTAAGTAAATCTCTCTGTATTTCTCAGTATACCAGAGTTTTATAATATCTGGTATACTGATAAAATCTGTGGCATCATTCCCACGCTGGTGCAGGGAATGAACTCGGTATGGCTTTTAAGCATGTTCTGACAGTGTCTCTGTCTTCCCATGCTATTTCACTCCTTAGGAAACAGCAATTTGAATATTTTTCTCATTTTTGCATGACTAACATTCACTGAATTTTAATTACAGATGAAGAAATTGATGAGGAAATTTTTCACTGTCTTGATGATAAAGAAATCGCTAACTTGATCCCAAAAATAGGACCAAGGTCAATATTCAAGACAAAACTCAAGTTTTTACAGGTAATGTTATGCACTGTGAACTACACTTTATAATAATACTGTATTTGTCCCGTAATCTCACTTACCTAGATACATGCCATTAATGAACTTCTGTTAAATGATTTGATGACCCTCACAAAAGTTAATATCTTATTGACAATAATAAACTGTCTAAGGATTTAAAGCTGTGATTGTCTTTTGTCACCAGAAAGAACAAAACACAACAAACCAGGAAACAGTTTGTTTTGACGCTCAAGTAAGTTAATAAGTTTCATTCAATTAGGTATCATCTTAAGGCCAATTTACATTTCTGTGTCGAATCTACGGCGTAGCCTGTAGCTGCTTTCCCTATGCCCGAAATAGATAGGTTTGGGGAAATGTTGTATAATTTGATTAATGCTTACATTTGTTTTTTATGTATTTTTGGTACATTTAATAGGATGCTTATTTATTTATTGAGTATTTTAAAATTTCCGTAGCCTATTCAATGTCAGACACTTTCCTTGATATGTTAAAGGATAAATCCTGTGTGAAAATGTCTTGATGAAATATGGGTTTAAGAGTTAAATATGTTCATCCTCAGGTTTGGCCATCCACCAGTGACTCAAGGGATAAAGGTGGGATACACACTAGCTAAATGATTACATGTAGTGTTCTTTGATGTTTTAATGTTGTAAGAGGCACATGCAACAAACTTTCTTTTTTGCCTAATTTTCTATTTTAATAAATCAAATAAGGAAAGAGGAAGTTAGATCTCCAGGGCGAGTCCAGCAAATCACCCTCAAGAAAAAGACGACATGACATTGTAACGGGATTACACCTAGGTATTTATATTACTTCCTTAACAATTACATCCTACAACCTACTAAGGCTAAAACTTCTACATAATATCTTTTTCTATGTCTTGGCCACAGACAATACTTTATCACTGGCTGTCCAAGGTTTTATCAGAATCCTTCAATATGTTACATATGCCATAAATGTATATTAATCTGCAGGTTTCCATAGCAACAATGCACGTGTGCTTCTTGTAAAACCTTAACTTTCTTTAACTGGGTGATGTTTAAAACCCAGACAATGTTTGTATCCTGTGGTAAGTGGCCATAGTATGAGCCTGATGCTACACTCTTAAATTGACTTGGCAGAGGAAGTGCCTCATTGACTATTGCTGTTTACTGATACACTTGTTCATGGTTCAATAGTTCTTTATTTTACACTGACAGAAAAAATCAATCCATCTGATGTGAAAATCGTCATGAGATATGTCAACGAGAGAATACCAAACCAAGAGAACAGGTTCAATAAGTTCCTGAAGTAAGTATTAAGTTTTCCATATTCCATATTGTTTGTTGTATGGGCAGGGGCTAAGGTTTTGTTTCAACATTGCAGAGGACCGAGGACACGTTTTTAGTGGGGTGTTTGGGGTCCCCCAAGAACATTTCGAACATTTAACACTCTATTTTCTCATGTTTTCTGTAATGCTCCAATTGAAATCAGTTCCTTGAACAGTACAAGCTTTTTAATCAACATACCAGTTGCACCTTAATTCCAGACACTGCTTGAAAATCCTCATATTCAAAACAGCATGAGTTACAGACACCAAAGGCCACAGAATGAACACATCCTCTCATATATAATGGGCAAAAGTATCAAAAACTTCTGACGGCTCACCTGTGTACAAGTCTTCCAAATGTTCCATATGGTTTCATACATTACATTCCATACAGCTGCCTTTAAACTAGATCCCTCCCAAAATGAAATTTCAGAATGAAGTGCTTGCAGGTCTTTGGTTTGGTGCTCAAGAGCCAGTTTTGTCAATTTTTCTATTGACAAAAGGTGTTTCTTGGATTATATATATAAACCTTTATTTAAACAGGAAATGTCCCATTGAGACACAGTCTCTTTTACAAGGGACTCCTGTATAACACAAATAAAACACAAATTTTCAACCATAAGTTGAAAAACAATACATTACGTAAATTAAAATACAGATTTACACAAAGTTTACAAAATATTTACATAGAAAAAAATGTAATGAGTTTAAAATATACATATAAACAAACGAAATAAGGACTAAATGTAGAGCTCTACCTTCTGTTAATTAAAAACAAGTGCATACATCAGTCAGAATGTCAGATATTCTAAGCAGCTAAGGAAATTAGCACACCAATCTTAGACTGTAGTTCATTCCAGGACAAAGGGTCATAGTAAGACAGACTCCTCTTTCCTGCTTCGGTCCTCATTCTTGCAAAGTAGTCCATCACTAGATCTTAAATGATATGTACTTTGCATATGAACAAATTTATTTCTCTCTAGTTCTCTAAGAGCAACCTCCCTTGCTCGTGCCAACAGTTACGGCATTGCCTCTGCACCTGACATCTGCACTCTTTTTGCAGACATAGGCATTTTCTTACTTAACCCCACACTCCCTGGTGGCGTGGGAGAAGGAGTTCTCCTGGGCTTCCCTATACTTTAAGCCTTTTAGCCTCTGCCGGGATACAGAAACCTCTGACACACTTTTAATGTTTCATATTAACCCTCCACCATTGTGTCCCTGAGCAAGACACTTAACCCCTAGTTGCTCCAGAGGTATGCGACCTCTGACATATATGGCAATTGTAAGTCGCTTTGAATAAAAGCGTCAGATAAATGTAATGTACTAACATAATTATATGAATATGCTTACTTACATATAGCATGCAAATAGTTTTGTCTAATAATGAAATATACTGATTACTTCTGATATGCAAATATGTTGAACGCCAACTCAATATAAAAAACTTATAGGCACATTTATGCTCAATTATTATCTTAACTTTTGGCCTTTGTGTACATTATTACTCCGTTATATTGGAAACTGATTTTTGACGCAATATACCCTCAATTCTTGTTCTACAGTGTCTTCCAGAGTTTGACACATTCTTCCAGTTTTTGTAAATTTTCCAAATTAATCTATTAATCCATTATAAATTCTTCTACAACAGGACTAAAATCAATGATTTGGAGACAGACAAGAGGGAGCTGGTTGGTGTCTTTGGGAAAACTGGGGCTGGAAAGAGCTCTTTGATAAATGCCGTCATCAGAGAGAAGAATCTCTTGCCCTCTGGCAGTGTCAGTGCATGTACCTCAGTCATGATTAAAGTGGAGGCTAACATGCTGAACTCAAAGTATGAGGCAGAAATTGAGTTTATTACAAAAGAGGTAAAATGTATTGAATATGTTTATTTACTTGATGCTATTTAAAAAGTTTTGATGTAGCTGCAAATTACAGTTGTTGGCTACATTACCTTTTAATAAACTAAACATAATATTACTTTTTAGGAGTTGGAAGAGGAATTGTGGTACTTTAAATTCCTTTGGGATAATGCAGATCAGGATGAGGAAGATGATGATGCTGGTGACACTACTGAAAAGCTGTCAGCGCTGTATGGAGAAGAATGGAAAAACAAATCCCTTGAAAACCTCATGGATAACAAATATTTCAGTGATATTCCAGAATTTCTCCGATCCAAGAGCAAGATTTTTACATGTGAATCAGTAAGAGAATAAATCTCATTTACTCAGTATATGGCTTAATAGAAAGCATTATTGCCTGTCTGACAGAGTGAAATGTTTAGAATTTTCCATCATTGACAATTAAGTAATTTACCCTCCATCATTGTGTCCAAAAAGGTCGTATCAAGTTTAAATGCCATTGACATGAATGCAAAATTTCTATTCTTGTATTAATAAATCTCAATGCTGCTTTTGACCCAGTGGGCACACCTGTTCGACAAGTTGAAAAACTGGATTAAGCTCCCTGGTGCTGCCACTTTAAATACAGGACAATAATAATTTTATCTTAATTGACAACCTTACTTTTCAGCAGGTCAACACGACCTGTGGAGTATATATAGGATGAGGATAATTAGACACGGGTGATCACAATCAGGGAGATACAGGTGCAACAATCAAAGACAGGAAGTAAAACAAGACAAGAAAACAGGGACAGACAAACAAGAAACACTGAAAACACACACCCACAACACCAGAAATGTGACAAAGTATAAGATAGAGAATGACAGGAATGCTACACTATAAAAGTGTGTTTTAAGAAGAGACTTAAATGAAGAGATAGACTTTGCCATCCTAACCTCCTCTGGAAGGTTGTTCTAAATTCTGGGGACCCTGATGGCAAACGCTCTGTCACCTTTGTTTGTAGTCTGGACTTCAGAACATGGGCACATGGGGAGTTAAAGGTTCCAAAATATGGTGATAAGTAAAACTAACTCTAAAATGTGTACAAGCCACCAGTACAAAGATGACAGGACAGGTGTAATGTGCTCTCACTTTCTGGTACCTGATAATAAAATTCTGGCGGCTGCATTTTGGATTATTTGAGAGGTGGAAGACCTAGACCAACATAGAAAGTCCTGTCTGTAAGGCATGACTTAAAGGGGATCTAGAGCTAATACTCTCACCAATTAACTAGATTTTTTGAGTAAAGAAGTTTAAAAATTCATTGCAGGTTTCAAGAGTAGGGTCTACGGAAGGGACAGGGGAACATCGATAGTTTACAGTTTACATTGTTAAAAAGGACTTCTGGTTTAAAAATATTAGATTCAATGAGAGTGGAAAAATAGGCATATCTAATGTTTATAACCTCTGCATTAAAAAGCTCCATCATGGTGGCCAGGGAGCTTAGAGGCTTTCCACTGATGCTCTGCTTTACACCATTGGTACTTTAGAGTACACATGTTTTCATTTATCCAGGGCTGGGACATTGTGAATGGTGCAATTTCAGCTAGGATTGAACTGCAGTTGATATTGAAATTTGTTAGATGTCCATCCATTGATAATAAATGTTCTATCTCACAGGGGATGGTGTTAAAAGCTCTAATAATTTTATACTACTTGTAAAGCAATTTGAATGCAATTGCCATGTGTTATTGTGCCATGTGCCTGAACTTTGATTTATCTATTGCAGGCTAAAGAGTTATCTGCAAAACTTGTAAAATACACAAGAAGTGATTTAAAAGACAGAGACAGTACAGAAGTAAAGAGGTGGTATTGGCCACTAGTGAAGTGTGTGACTGTCAGGGTGCCTGGGAATGATCTTCTCCAGCATGTCACACTTGTGGATCTTCCTGGAAATGGGGACCGTAACAAGAGCAGAGATGAAATGTGGAAAGCGGTACTTAATTGACAGCCACAGCAGGTTAGTGTGCATTACTGTTCACCGATACTTAATTATTCACAATTAACTTGTTATTATGTCCCTCCAGGTTGTTGGGAGATGTTCTACTGTGTGGATTGTTACTGACATTAATCGAGCAGCAGCAGAGAAGGAACCCTGGGAGATCCTGAAAATTGCCAACAGTAGAAATGGTGGAGTGTGTCAGTTCATTCACTTTATCTGCACCAAATCTGATCTTATTGAAGATTCAGATGATCAGTGAGTGATTTAAAATGCCTAATACATATATACATCCAAATAAGACACTGACAAGACAATTAGACACTGAAGCGGCAGCCAAGAGCTCAACAGAAGTAAACACTACTGCATATGTTATTTTTACTTTTTTCACTCCTATTATTCTTGTTCCTCTATTTGGTAGATGCTCTTGTTAAATTGTCTGTATATATATAGCACCGTTCTAATCTTCTGACCACTTAAAGCAGTTTTACACTACATCACATTCACACACATTTACAATTTGGGGTTAAGACTTAAAAAAGTTGGAATTTCCAGTTTTAGTGCACAATGTATCTTTTCTTATAGTTCAGCAGCTGGTGTTCGTGCTCTCATATTAAAAAGAAACAATCAAGCCAAGGAAGAAGTGAATAAAGAATTCAGCAAACTAAAGGTTAAGGTGAGTTTTATAGACTGACCGAAAGTGAATGCAAATGCAGTCCGGCCTTAAAATCTTTCAAAACATTTTTTTTCCAGAAACATTTCAGAGATAACTGTTTCAAAGTGTTCACAGTGAGCTCCAAAGAGACCCATCTAAGCCCAGATGAAACTGGTAGGTGAAGTCTCCAATATGAGCACTAGCTCAAATACATATTTTGTTTTAGTTAGAACATGAGCACGAAACTGCCATGGATCTATTGTTTATGCAAGGAATTGTATTATTCTCTACATTCTTTGCATTTGCAAAATGTAGTTGCCATTCCCTTCTGTACATTATTACTTCTTCTTTGAACGTACGTGTTCAACGTAGTGATGAGTGGCTACATTCTACAAGAAGAAGAAGAAGAACGTGGTGACAAAAAGCTCTCTGTAGAGCAGTTTGTCCGTTTTAAGCTACTGTAGAAACATGGGTCCGCAACATGGCAACATACATGTAAGGGGGATGCACGGTTATGTAGCGAGAAATGTGTCATTGTAAGGTAATAAAAACATAACGGTTCATTATGTAAGGTCTTCATACACCACTGAAAACACAGGTATGGATATTATGTTGGATTTCTGTCAATAGATCCTCAGAAATATTACACACTGAACCTTTAAAGACCATACCTTAACCCAACAGGAAGTTCGCCATTTTGAATGGACTCAGCAAACGGCGTGTCTGTGGCATAGCACATCAGTATGTTGTTTGTTACAGGCTGCGTGCTTCAATGATCTCCTCCAGAGGTTTAATCAGATTGTCTTCAAATTTGGGCAGTGCAATCTGAAGACCTGTGTGATGCTGAATTGCAAAGCATTTTAGTCTGTGGCGTTGGATTTTGATGTTTCACCATGAAAAAGGAAGTCGTTTGTAAATGGACTGTACATGGTCATATCTGCCCCAGGTGACGTCTACAGTACATGCCAATATTAACTCACAGTCTTAGCACCACCTACTGGCAACAGGAATTAGCATGTTTTATACTCTGTTGTACTTCTCCTTGCATGTTGATCCTAATTGGCTCAAAACTGTCTCAGAGTTGCATCAAGACCTTGAAAATGCTATACTGTAAAACTTGTGAGTTGTCACAGTGATGTAGCATTGAATTCTGATGCTTTGCCATTAACAATTAAACAGTTGTAACTGGACTGTACGTGTTCAAATCTGCCCCAAACTGCAAATTGTTTGAGTCCCACCCTGAAGACATCTACTTGCCAATATTCATTCATAATGGTAGCGCCACCTACTGATTGACGAACTCACACAACAGCTATGCAAATGTAGCACGCCCTGATGTGCAGGGGGTACAAGGGCCCACTCATCGCCTCTTGCAGCTTAAATTTATTTTAACCTCTTTAATTCAAACAAAAAATACTTTTTGGATTTTGACATTTAAATTTCAAATATAGTCACAATTTTGCCTTGGCTAGAAGTCATATATATGGAACACATCTGTGTTTTGCATTGTCCTTGACAAATGAACTTAATAACAAATAACGTCTTTTTTTTTTTTTCAGAAATACCCAAACTTCAGCAATTTCTGCAACATCTCAATGACTGTCACTCAGAAACATTAAACTATGTATCTGGAGCTTATGAGATACTCTCTCTGATTCAAAGGGCCCGATGTAGAGAAGTGGTAAGATCAAGTAATTACAACCCCTTTTATTAATAATAATGGCAATAATGTTGACAGAAAATGATAATTAGTACGATTACATTTTCTACTTTCAAATTCACTGAAAACATGTAAATTCAAATAACTGATTCCATAAATCTGTGTAGAGTAAGTTTTGATCTCTGTGTTATTTCGTCATCTCTATTATCACACTAATAACAGGATGGCCATACTCATGACAAGAAATACACAATAAATACTTTCTTGAAAAAAACTGCCAATGAAGCAGCAGTATACATACTAAATGTGTTGTTTGATTTCAGGCTGACAAAACAACAAATGTGTGCACAGATCTTGAAGAGGACATAAGACATGAACTTGAAAAAGTTAGAAAACCCATGGAAGAGGCTTGTAATGCTTTTGAAAAATGCCTTAGTAAGGGGGTTGAAAAATCAAAAAGTTCATGTGAACGAGTCTTGAAGTCTGTCTTACATCCTGTACGTATTTAGATTATTATCACATCAAACCAACTAATTTAGCACTTAAATGAATACGTTAAAGGGTTAGTTAGGTTTTTTAAGTGGGCTTGCATGAGGTTCTAATCCATAGTCAATGTTTTACTGCAGGATATGGAGGTTCAGTTCCCACCAGAAATGGCTATTTGACAGCAAGTTAAAGCAATGAATATCTTCTAAATATAGTGTATACCTAAACTAATAATACTAACTAGGTGGTCTTTTTTTTGGCTATAATACGTTATGCTGCTGCCCGACTGCTTCTCTGAACTGAGGGAATGCCGACTGCAATACACTGAAATATGCTGACTATGGATAAATACCTCATACACCCCTACTTAAAAAAAATACAAACTAGCCCTTAATTGTTTTTCCATGTTTTTCTTATATTTTTCTGGTGTGTTTCAAAAGGTATCAGGTTGTGCTTTTCACAAGACATTGAGGTCTGTAGTTGAGAATAATGGTACCTTCAAACCAAAAATAGGGAAACAAATAAACCTCAATGCGGAGATAGCTGCATGCCTGACTGACAGCATTAATGAGGAATTCCTGAAGACCTTTCCGTAAGCAACTACTTAATAATAATTATACAGTTATACAAGTTATGTAACATAATACATATACAAATTACAAAAATAACAGTTTTAATAAATACAGACTTGTCAGTGCTTCCTTCATGTAACATTTCAAATTGTTAACATATTTCAGAAATGAAAAAAAATGCGGACCATTCAACGGGGTCATCAACATGTTTGCACTTGACACAAAGAGGCTGATTGAAAAGCACAAAGATGTCAAACTGCAACTGATATTTCTCAAGACGGAGGTAAAAGATGAGAATAGTGCCATCCTCTCCATTGGTCCAACATCAAGCTGTTTGTCCAAATCAACCCAAACAACAAGTTTGTGACTAAGGACTAGAATGAAGACTAAGTGAAGGAAATACATTTTTTTTAAATGTATTACTGTGAGTTTGAGGCATGTGTGGGGAAGATTATGTAAAGTAAGAATGCTTGACCTGTTAATAGATTAAATTTATCAATTATCAAAATACAAAGTGGGTGAACAGAAGAAAAATGTAAATCAAATCCATATTTGGTGTGACCACCCTTTGCCATCAAAGCAGTATCAGTTCTTCTAGCTAAATAAGGGATTTTGCAGGCAATAAAATATTTCAGGTCTTTTTTGTTGCTGATTACGGCTTGCAGCTGGATGGAAATCAAAAGTCCATATTTCAAAACGTTAGAATAACAAATGTATAATACAGAAATGTCAACCTGAGAAGAGCCTTTATTATCTCTGTCTGGTTCAATACACACAACCACAGTCATGGGGAAGACATCTGACTTGACAGTTATCCAGAAGACACTCATTGACACCCTCTGCAAGGATGGTAAGCCACAGAAGGTCATTGCTGAAAGGGCTGGCTGTTCACAGAATGCTGGATCAAAGCATATTCATGGAAAGTTGACTGGAAGGTTAAAGTGTGGTAGGAAAAGCTTCACAAGCAACAGGGATGACCACGGCCTTCAGAGGATTGTCAAGCAAAGCCAATTCAAGAACTTGGGGGAGCTTCACAAGGAGTGGACTGATGTTGGAGTCAGTGCACCAAGAGTGACCACACTCCTAAAGCCACTCCTGAACCAGAGACAATGCAGGAATTTGTGCAAAAGGAGCCCTGACCGAGTACTAAGCGCATAAATGAACCTTTTTCAGAACTTTTCAAATTTTCAGAAGGTCGAAATGTCTGCATTATACATTCTTTATTCTAATATTTTGAGAAATGGATTTTTGATTTCCATGAGCTGTAAGCCGTCATTATCAAGATGAAAACAAAAAAATGCTTCAAATATTTTACTTTAAGTGTAATAAATCTAGAATATATATGAAAGTTTCACATTTTGACTTAAATTACAGGGGGAAAAAATAACTTTTCCTCAATATTTATATTTCTCTCTCTAAGGAAGAACAAATTAAGACACTCCTCAACAAAATCATCCGGGTGTATAAGAAAACAATCTACAGCGATCTTACGACGACAATTGAGGAAAACATGCAAGAATGCTATGAAAGTAAGATAGAAGATCTTGACATATCCAACTTGACACAACAGTAGTTGTACATTCATCATGATCGTCCAGAAATTGTGTTTTATTGTAGAAGCTGCAGAAAAAAGAGGACACAACTCTCTGAAAAATATGCGCAACAGCATTGAGAAATACGTTCGTGATCCAAAGAACACCATGTTTGAGCAGGCTAAAGATTTTATGTTGAGCCAGCTAAGATGCTTGAAGGTTTGTCACATTTTTTAATACGTTATCTGATGGTAATGTAGCAAAACATGTGCTGCACAAAGTTATCTGCATTCTAGGTCATCATTTACATAAAGGTTTTTCTATATTCAAGCGGAATATGTGTCATTCTGAAAGCTGCTTTTGCTATGAAAAACACTGCGGGCAATTCATGTAGGATTCAGTTGATCTTGAACACAATATTTATCTGTGTGAGTGAGAATTGATGAAGATTTTGATGTTGAATTAGGAGTACAGCCTGAAGATACTGGAGGAAACAATGCAGAAATCAATCGAGATGTCACTCAGGACAGATTGCGACTCACTCCCAGGTAGAGGGAACATAAAAAAATAAAAACATGATACTGTAAATATTTTATTGAAATTTATATGTCAACAAATGTCCAGTGGTGTAAATTAATGGATTAAACAATACTTTTTTTTGTTGTTTTTAGATGTAACAGTGGAGCTTGAAACGGTGAAGAAATGCTACCATGAACTGAGAGGGAGCCCAGATGAAGAAACACTAATTTGGTAAAAACTTTGTTAAAATGTTGCTCTGACTATGAGCTGTTCTGAAAAATGCTAACAATGCTTTTAATTACACTAGTGCTGATCCACCTGGTCCAGCAGCTGCACCGTGACACATGCAGGTACGTTTTAGTGAAACTGATGATCCAAACTGAACATTCAAACAGATGATAGATGATGTGACAGGCCTACTGTTTGTCATCACAACCTGCACTGTTTATCTCTCTGGTGGATGTTTCAGGTTTGCTCGGTGGAAACAGCAGAAGTCTGATTATCCACTGAAGCTCTCTGCGTTCACACTGATTAGAGACATGAGGCCTCTGGATTTGGTCTCAACCAAGTTCTTATCTCTGTTCCCTTTAAGTGTTGTTTTAATGTGTACATTGTGTTTACTTGTTGTGAATAATATGCAGCAGCATTTAAGATTTTAGGGGGGGTAGGACATATTTGCCTTAAATTTACTATAGATCAGAGGCAGACAGAATATGTGGGGACAGAGACAGACACGGTGGTGACATGGAGCAAAGGTCCCCAGCCATAGTCAAACCACTGATGTTGTGGTTTTCATAGAACAGGTCTTTTACGGGACACTAACCTTGAACCTTGATTACAGAACGTATATAGGTGGATTTGACGAAGACTTTAGGCTTTTCAAATAATGATCTTGATCTTTTTATCTTTCATGTTCAATGACAGAACTGTTGCTTGCTGCAAAATAATGGTTTGAGTGTGTTCACATAAAATAACTATATGATAGTAAAAAAAAACGTTGGTTTCATCATGAAACTTTACTAAACAATTGTTTTGTTTGTTAGATTTATGATTTTCCATCCTTGTTTTTACTATAAACTCGTAAAAGTTCTTACCTAAAACTCTACAGTAATATGTGTCAGTTCCCGTACACATATCTATATTACACTACCACATTAATTTTAGTAACACATCACAAATACTAGCAATTTGGGGTCAAAATACTTATTGTAAATATATTGCCAATGTATAAGAAATTATACCATAGCAGATCAGGCATGTTAATAGGCCCATTCACACAGTAGCCTGATGTTCGTACACAATGTATCAATGTGTAAAAGCTGTGTAAAGTTGGCAGCTTTGTACACACTCTAATTTAATCTTGGATTCACACAGATTATATACTGTACATGTTGGCCAGATCTGGATTTTGTCTATGCTATATTTTATTATCAGCATTATTATTTTTTCCCATTCATCAACTCAGTCATGTAAAAATTTGAAGACTTAGGCCAGATGAAAAAGCTTGAACTTTTCCCAACATGTTTATTTTCAGCAAAAATAGACCCCAATTAGAGTACAAAAGTTTCTGTTATCAGAACTGAGACCTGAGTTGACATGACATGATATAACAAATGATTTTCAACTCCTTTTGGACCTCCTTTTATAGCTCTGTTTCTAAGCATTGTCTCATCACTTAGCTCTCTTTCCTGGTACCTGGTTCTGGAGATGGCCAAGTGGCTGTCACTGTGTCTTTTTCTTATCTTATTGCGGACAGTCAGTTTTTGTTTGTTTATACTTTCTTGTGTACTCACACATATATTCCCTATTCTTATCTATTCACATTAAAATGCATGCAAAGAGGTAGCTTGGAGCCAAGACTCATCATGCAAAGGGAGTCATTTTTAAACCTTAAAACATATTAGAACTCATGTGTATATATAGTGTTTCTTAGCCTATATATAAAAAGAGTGGCCAGTAGAGGGGTTTAAACAAAAGTGGCTTGGACTGCACTATATAATAACTTCATCCTATAACCTAAAACATTAAGATAGTAAAGATTTTACAACAGCTCCCTGAAAGTGCTTATAAAGGGAGCTCTCTATGAAACAGTGCATGCAAGGTTTACTGTGTGTGTTTCTTTAGTAATGTATTTTTCATGTTTCAAGTTTTTTCTTAAACATTCACTTGCCTTAAGGGGGCAGGAGAGTGAGCAGTCCATGTATTTTCACAATTTGAAATGCCGCACAAATGAATGTCAAGCTTTGTGTTGATATGTGTGATAGGTGTATTAAATAAAAGAGTACAGTACTGTGTGTGCCATTCATCACTTGGCTATCTATATATATATTATATATATATATATAAAATAATGACTGCTCTCTATATCCAAATAGGTTCAGTAGAGGTGTTGTTGTTATTGTCATTTGGGATTAATGGTAATGGGAGGTTTTCATGTTAAGAAAGTGCCTCTTGCTGATGCAAGAAATGGAACATGTGGACACACAGATGACAGGGAGAATAAAGACAGGCATTGTAAGGACTTTTTTTAATACAGCTTTTTAAATCCGGGAGCTTATCACCACTATTATCAGTTCCTCTCTTATTATTGTGTAAGAAAAAGTATAACATAATACAATTCATTCATACGTATTTTCCAAAGCAGCAAAGTTTCTATAAGTTCATACAAATTCTAATACATTAAAAACGTGACATCCTCATTGAAGGTTACTGCTGGTGTTACTCTGGTGTTGAATGCAGGTTAAAATTATCTCAGTAAAAATTAGAAAGAAAAGTGGGATCGCAGACAAAAAAAGAAACAGCAATATCACTGGCATCATATCAAGTAAACACACACATACCCATGTAATGTACCCTGTTTACCATGTCACTGTCCTTGAATGACTTAAGGGTTAGTTCCTCTTCAAGGCAAACAGTTTGCATTATTTTTGCATGAATTTGTCTGTTTTGGGTGTGTGCCATGGTAAGCAAACTGCTGTTTTATAGTGCACCAGGAAGTTATAAATGATATGTACACACGAAGACTTTCAACACACAAACAATTTGCTAAGAAAGAAAACAATTAATGATTCCTACGACAGGAAGTATTGATTTTGTGATTGCAAAACGTACATGCAACACTTGCAAATTTGTGTAATAAACACTCATTTCTGCATTAAAAAATCCAAGTCAGAGCAACTGTCAACTTTATAAACCTTTCTTACAGATACATGATAATCTGATAAATTAATAAAGTTGTCTTCTCTGGCTGTGTATTGTTATCAATTGCAAATGAATTGCAATGTGACGCTACGACATTGCAACTCCCATGAGTACTACCAGCACATAGTGTTTGCTCATTGGTCCATTCGTGAAGCCTATTGTCTTGACCGACATCACTGTAAACAAGAAGACGTAGAGATTAAACTCACTGACCGGTGCACCGGGAGACCCTGTGGCTTGAGGGCTGTTTTAGTCTGCCGTTAGTTATCAACTTATCTAGTGGCAACGATGACAAAACAAGCTTTTTTAAGAAGGAGGAGAATCTACGCACGTAGCCAGGCATTTATACTAATGCGTTGGTGTATCCGTCATTCTGCAACTATACCCCCAAACGCTAGTCGGCAGTAGCGCTACAGCATCCACTGTGTTGACTTTTGTCGGTCGAGCAGGCTAACTTCCGGTTTAGCGCTCCGCAAACGTAAATGGGGGTAAAATTGTACTCGACAGAATGGATCACATTCTGATACACACACTCATTTCGCTCAGGTTGTGACGGTCAAATATATTGATCCACCGTGTTACAGCCTAGCCATTAGTAAAAGTTACTACAAAGCATGGGGCACTTCCTGTCGGCTCAGAGACATTGTGAGGCTTCCCAGCCGACCAGTCACAGTGCTTATGGTCCGTGTCGACTCTACGTGTAGTTACATTTTTGAGGAGGTGCATGTCAGCGTAGCCTCTGCGTAGCTTACGCCGTCGATTCAACGCAAAAGTATAAATTACACTTCACTCTCTCATGCAGTGCCAATGGTATGATCTCTGTCATCACACGCAACTGGTCACATGCACACACACACATCAACACAGCGTTCAGTCAGTGCGTGAGAGTGCCTGGCCGAGAAAATGCACAGGGGAACGAAAGAAAGAGAAAAGGTAGAGCTGAGACAGAGAAAAGGCAGGAGGAAAGTGCCATTAAATGCTGTAAAATTCCAGATATCTTTATGATTAAGGGACATGGTGGTGTTTAAAAAGAAAAATACATAAACTACTCATATCACATCATATCATCATCAGTACCTGTTTTAATATGCCATGAAAGCAGAAGATGTGTTTGTATGGAAAATAAAGACCTGTATACTCGTTTCAGGTGTCTCCAGTTACTCAGAGCTACATGATGATAAACATAAATCCAGTCCCATATCAATTAATAAGTATAAACCCCTTGAGGTTTTGTGTAGCCAGCCAACAATATGTATTTCAATAGGACAAGACTTGATTCAAAGTAAGTTAAACTCCTGCGCACTGTCTTGCTTACTGTTGGTGAAATCATTTATGACATTTTCAGTCAGATACCTTCATCAGATCAACAAGCAAACATTTGAAGTGAGACATTAAAGATAACTTTCTCTTTTGATTAAGTTGTACTGCTCATCAATACACCTATAATACATTTACCTGCAGACAATTATTTTAGTTTGTAAGACAAAGCTTTCATTCTTTGAAATGTTTACCTTTCAGCCTTTTCAGGTAACTAATTTCAACTTGCAGGTTTGACAAAAAAATTTAGCTTACAGCCTTTCAGTGCGTTTGAGCTTCTTCAGGCATTTGATTTTACCTCTTCTGCATTTTCTGCAGTGTTGCAAGTTAATTTCAGCTTTCAGTATCTTAAAGAGACAGGAGCATCTACAGACAGAGGCTGAAGTGAGAGCTTGCATGAAGGTCCTGAAGGGCCATAGAAAATTATTTTTTTTAACTTTGAATCATTCCAAATTTTACACAATTTAATGTTAGCAATCCAGTTTAGCGTCAGCCTTTAACAGCGAGCATTCACACCACAATTTCTCCACAAATTGCATTTCCAGTTAGTATTTAGTCCACTGGAAACTGAAAATGACTGTTAACAAAATGCACCATAACAAAAATCCAGATCTGGCCAACATGTACAGTATATAATCTGTGTGAATCAAGGGATATGGTATCATTTATTACAAATTTACAATATATTTACTGCAAGTTTTTTCCCATCAAATAGATGGCTATTGTGGTTTATGTTACTAAATAGTTTGGTAATGTAGTGTAGATTAGTGTCAGGAAACTTTATTTATGTAAAGATTCATGTAAAGTCTTCTAGGAGTTTTAAGTAAAAACAAGTCTGATGGTGAAGAACCTAGAGCAGCTTCAAGGTAATTTTACAACTTAAAAGATAAAAAAGCCAAAATACATGTTGCACTTTAAGTCAAAAGCAAACTTTATTTAGGTTTATTTGACAGTTTACATGTAGAAGGTAGTTTATTGTCACATATACACATTGCGAAATTCATTCTCTGCATTTCACCCATCCCTCAAGGGAGTAGTGGGCAGTTGCTGTGCACTGACTGAAGCACCACATGTTTTTGATTGTATGCATTTAGAATCAGTGCATATTGCAGTGCGCACTCTGGTGGGCAAACTATGCAACGCTCACGACATGAGGGAAGGATCTGACTCTGTTTCTCTTTTTTAATAGTCATATTGGCTATTATAAATGCCGATGCAGGTATATCTGCAAGTATATCGCCGATCTGCAAAACAATTAATCGGTTGAGCTCTAGTTAAGAAGAAAAAAAGCATTCAAGATCATTCTTTGAAAAGCCTAAATTCAAATCCACCTACGACACCCATAAAAGCACTGAAATTGCAGCACACACATCCCAATCAACCAAAATTAAACTAATAAAATAAGAACATATAAGATAAAACATGAAAATACATTCTAGAAGATGAAAAACATATCATTAAAAACAAAAAGTCCGCGTGCTCACTTGAACTCATGAGCGAGCATAATCCAAAACACAACCGCAACACGGAAACAATGGCATGCCAGCTGTGGCTTTTTTCCAGACATGTTCAGGCTCTGTTACTTCAATGTTCCTGGCTAAGACACAGCAGCGAGCCACATATTGGCATAATACTCCCTGGGAAAAAAAGGCTGTGTAACAGCAGCTATAGACAGACAGGGAGACACCTTAACACAACGTGCTGAAAACTCCCACTGCAAAGTTACAGTAATATTTTTATATCATCTTGAGGTTGAACTGATCCATGCTCGTTATATGATGACGTTACATTTACAGCATTTAGGAGACGTGATACATTGGCTTAAGCTCACCTGCTGCAGTAACTGATATTACTATTAGGCTCAGCAATGTGAGAACAGCTAAATGTATTGGATGTTAACGAAATAAATTTTATTTTATTTATTAATATGTAATATAATTGAAAAGCTAGGGGCTATATGTAGTTTTTCAATTAAATTACTTATCAATAAATTTTCATTGCCTTATTGTCAATGGGCTCAAAACTCACTTAGAAATGAAGCATATGCCAGTTTTCTCTGTTGTTTTCATCAGCCACTATTCTGCTATAAATGTGAGGACAGCGTATCGGATTCAGCTCTGTGAGCCTCTCTCTGACTACAGCGACAACACCGTTGCTAACTACATGCAGTCCACTTACACCACAAAACACTGACTCCAACACAAACTCCATGTAAAGGATAAATATAACAATAAAGGTTTATGCAATGAAGCCTGTCAGACCAAACAAGTCGGGTAAAAATAGTCACACCAGAAACCCACGGAGAGAGTCACGTTAGCTTTTCAGATTACTTCACCAGCTAACACGACCCATATTACTATCCTGTGTACCACTGGTATTATGTCAAAGTGTTGTGCAAATGTGGAGCAATTTGTTTACTAGCCTATAGTGATGCAGGGCAGAAGCAGCCTGAGTCTCTGTAACTAACATGATCCACATAATATAAAATACTCCAGCTCACTAACCGTTTCATTATCATCCAATACATTTTGCTGTGTTGACATTGCTGAACCTCCTTTGAAAGATACACAGGTAAAAAAGTAAAGTTAGTTACTGAAAAGCAGCAGGCAAGCTAACGCTGATGTAGCATGTCAGCTAAATGCAGTAAATGTTATCATGTAACCAGCATGGATAAGTTTAACTTGCAGCTGATAAAACTATTACTGTAACGTTGCAGTAGGGGTTTACCTGTGTTTCCAGTCTGTTCTCCCTGTTTGTCTATAGTCACTGTCACACT